CGTATTAGTTTCATAGTGGTTACTAAATATTTTTGCAATTGCTTTAATTTTTTGTTAATAACTGAATAGACTGTTTGAGACATTTTGAGACATTTGCCTGTTTTCTGGGTGCGTCAGATTGTTTTGAAAGGACAGTTAAAGACAACTGCATACTAAGTTTCCTTTTTGGAGATGTGTTTTCTTTCTGGTTAACAGTAGTGTAAGATTCTCTTTAGTTTAATTTTATGAAAATGGAAGAAAGACCAAAACAGTTTAATTAAAACAGGCTGTGTCAGGTTTGTAAAGCATTCCTTTAGTGTAGAGTAGCAGCTCTCAGAAAGCATATGCTCAAACTTTACTAACATAAACGTAACCATCGTCTGATACTGTGATATATCTGGAACATTTTGTGATATTATATTTTATCAGTTCTCCCCAGCACTAGTCCTTTCCACCAGATACTGGCTCGCTGAAGAGCCAGAGTAGAAGCTATTGAAGCTTTTTGTTTTTTTTATCATGCATGCCTCATGGTTGCTTGTAATTGTGCAAAAGTGCCACAGTGGCTTGGTGTTCGCTGGGTTTGTCAAGTGAAGATGGCAGACTGGCACAAACACAGGAAATGCGTCATTGAGCAGAGAAGTGTGTGAAATTATTACTCTGATTGCATAAATATCACTTTGTAGCACCACTGTTTTTTTTTGTTTTTTTTTCCCCCAAGTGCCATCAAGTTGCTTCCAATTCCAGGCGACCATGTGGATGGTGTCTCTCTATAATATCTTGTCATCTGTTTGGGCTTCTTAATTGCTTGTTTGTGATTCCATCTTTTATTTGGCCATCCTCTTCCTCTTTTACCTTCAAATGTTCTGTCTTTTCCAATGATAATATGATGATGATAATAATATGTCCAAAATAGGAGCTTCACTTTGGGCTTCGAATGAGAGGTGAGGCTTGATTTGGTCAAGTCCAAAGGCATCAATATTTTTCCTGTCTTGCTTTTTTATTATACAGCTTTCTCATCCATAAAGGACCAGAGAAAAGACCACAGCCTAACCCGTTCCTTCATCCATGTTCTGCCATGTGCTAATCAGTGTCAACTGCTGGATGCTTTGGATGCAGCAGTTACGTTAGAACAACACAATGACTTTGACTGTGCTTTAAAATGAGTTACTTAGAATGAGCATCTATAACTAGGCCATCATGCTAAAACACTCAACTTCCCTATAGGGAGACTTACATAACTAACACCATCATAACACACAAAGTGAGTGAATGCTGTTTCAGAGTAGTTTTGTTTTTCTATGGTCGTGATTATGGCATCAATGGGACGAATGTAACTTCAGTGTTCAGTTTTCAGCATCTGAAATAGCCTGTTTTTGTCCTCTTACGTTTCATTTTCATGTATTTCTACCCCTATTTCTTGTTTTTCTCTGGAATGGGCCCACAAACAGTGGTGGTCTGACCTCTGAGGAATCTAAACATGGCTGTAGTGCATTGCGACTTTGTGGATATCTTGACCACACTTTGGCTGAGCTCCCTGCGCCATACACCTTTCCATTGTACTCTCCTTTGTCAAACCACGCCGGACTGTTGTGAACTCTTCTGGCATCAGGAAAAGAATGGGCCTGTATGGCAGTCTTTCTTCTTGAAGTAAGCACAGAGAAGCCAGTGCTAATGACTAGTTACAGTAGCTCACTGAAGCTATGTTTGGACAGTTGTTGCTGTGGAGACGCTGCTGTTGGGGCAAAGGCGGTAAAAGACTTTAGCCCTGCAATGGACGAAGAATTCGTTTTAGCAGTAGTAATGATTTCAGTGTGTTGCTGATGTCAGCTAAAAGAAGCTTAGTCTTCTCTTTTAACTTGATTGACCTTTTATAGGTCTCAGTTTGGTTTGTAGTTTTGGTAGAATCTCTTACTGGCATTTCAGCTCAGTAAGAAGTCAGATTTACATGATTTTCTGCTTTCCTCAAGTGTTGAGTATGCCTAGACAAGTTTTGAGGTCATAAATTCCTTCTTTAGGAGAACAAAAAGGGGCCAAAAGTTTTAAGAAATACTAACCACTGTGGGTGAGATTTGGAATGAGATATAGAGTACTGTAGCATCCTTCATTTATTTAATTTCCATGTATTTAACAGAAAAATACACAGAAGCCCCAACAAATGGAGTTATGGTGAAACTGAAGCTTGAGAAAAGAACACTCCTGAAACTCCTCCTTCTCAATTCCAGCTTCCTATAAATACCAGTCCTTCACTCCTCATTCTCGTGATGAAATTTCGCACCTCACCTTTTCCCTCCTCCACTTTATCCATGCCTTCACATGATCTGTATATACAGGGGGATCGGCCTTTTAGTGACAGAACTCCAGCCCCAAATTCCTCAGAGTTCCCCTCCTCTCATTATCTGCTTCAACCCAAGGTGTGGTCTGCATTTGCAAACTGAATATAATACCACATTTTCAGTATTTAGTTTATCCACCATTTGCCTTATTACATCTTCCGTTCTTTTTTAGGAGACTCACTTTGTTTTTCAAAGAAATCTGCAGGGATATTTTTTCACACCTCCAAAGTTTTAGAAGACTTTTAGACCTTTCAGGTAATCCCAAACACATTCAGTGATGGGGTGGCAAGTCAGATGTTCTCAGTAAGGGCTTCTTGACAGCTACACATCCTTTCAGACTCATAGTGTTGAGTTGTCTTCTCGCAGTGTAAGGATGGACAGAAACACCTGTGGATTTTTTCAGATCTGAGGCAGCTCAATTTTCTCCTCTCTCTCAAAGATAAGCTTTAAATGCTGTTTATCTAATGGTTTTGATGGTCAGCCAGGTCTTGCATGTGTTAAGTCCCATTGTCTCTGTGACTTTTAAAAATTCTTTTAACTCATTTTTTGAACTTTTTTGAACTGTTTTTTTTTCCTCTTGCTGTTCTTTAGACTTTCACCTTCCTTATGCAAGTTGATTATCTAATCTCTTCAAAAATATCTCCAGATAAAATAAATATCTTGTACTTAATGGTTGTTTTGACTTGATTAGGTCTAGTATATTCTCCCTGAATCTATACTTGTTGCAGTAAAACCAACAAAAAACTTTATTACTCCTCATTACTAATGCTGCACTTCATGCGGGGTCACAGCCCAGAGCAAGTCTATCAGCACTGCAGCCGAATCGTCCGTCCAGCATGAACAGATGGAGTGCACAGAATTCCCCTGCTTGTGTCTGGTCTCAGGCCAGTTCATCATGCTGAGTTTTGCTTGTCCTTTTGCTGAGAGCACTGGTCTAGGATCTGCCTCATCAATCATTCATTAAAGCCCTCCCACTCTTTCAGCACAGCTCCATTACTGTGCCCTGGGCCATTGTGGATTCCCTGTGTCCCTGGTCATGCAGAAAAAGGGTCTTTGTCTCCAAGCCCCCAGGTCCCCCAGCCATAGCCATGGCAACATGGTCTCAATGGCCTGGGCTCAGAAGACGGCAGCGTGCAGGACTAAATGCAGTCCAGTTTGGAGTGGTGTCTGCTGTCGGACAGGCTGTCCTCATAGTGTGTGCCTGTTCTTCCTCTGGCCATCTTTTAGCGAGGCTCGGAGCCAAACCTCAGTATCAGAGAAGGCGTTCTCTCCTCAATGGTCTCTCTTAGTTCATGTTACGAGTGGCTTGTTTTGTGACTATTGCAGGAAAGAGTGGGGGGAGTGTTGAATGAGGGCGTTCTTTTGTCAGCCCAGATGTCAACAGCTCTGAAAAGCCCATGCGTTTTGCTCAGGCCAGAATGAAGTGGCCCACATGTTTCAGTTAGTAAACTGATTAACTGGCAAACTAAGCAGTCAGCAGATGGTGCAATGCTGAAATGTACAGAGAGATCTTGCAAGGACTCTTAAAGTCATGGTTGAGAAAGAAATCAAATTTACACAATATGCCTTTAACCTAAATGTGGTTGATGAGTCAAGACATGTTTGTTACTGGAAGCTTATACCCTTGGGATAAATGTGCATGGGAACATAGACTCACTAAGGTGGGAATAAACTGAGCGTGAAATTTCTTACCCAATCCAATTTTTTGTGAGGGTGGAGCTCAGAGTAGGGGGCAATAGTTTGCTTGTCATTATTGTCAGACAGACAACAAGCTTGTAAGCTGTTGTGTAAGTCAGCATGACTAAAAAATTCCCCCAGAAAACTCCAAATATGCACGTAGATGTGTTAAGTGTGTGGATGTAGATATGATAAAAATAAACATTTACCTCTTGCAAGAAAAAAACTGTTTTGTCCACCAACAATGGCATTTTGCTAGCTAGCTTGGTTTGCTTGTGTTATTGGTTGTATTTGTTACATTAAAAGAGCACGAAATTGAGGCATTTGGGGCTAGTTTTTAAAGGTGACGTACCCTTGTTAGAGCTGCGATTATCCACCAAAAGTTGACCAGTTTTCCCCAGATGTGTGTTCTTGTTATGCGATCATGTCTGGTAATGCGAGGCTATACTAATAGAAGCTAACAAATACAAGTGGAGGTTGAGTGTGTTTGGTCTCCTACCCAAAAAAAAGGCTAATCGATCAGTAATACACTGCCTGATACAGTAAGACTTTCTGCTCTCCGCAAGTGCTTCATTATATCTTTGTCTTATTTCTGTCGCATTTATACAGTGCAGGTTTTATGCAGTTTTCCTTTTGAATTCAAATGTTGTCGTTGGTTGATCGCCTACTTTTGGGCTAAGATGAAAATTGTGTAAATGAGATTTTTTGGCCAACCATCACATGAATGACACATTTATTGCCTGTTTCTGTTGTGTATTGTGGTGGATTTAGTGTAGGTTTCTGAGAGCACTGTAGTTGCTGACACTTTCTCTAAATGGGGACGATGTGTGGTTTTGGTGGGCAAGTGCACAGACATGCAGTTGGCTTTCCTTTAGATGCTGCAGCTTTTTTAATTGTCAGTGATTTAATGTGTACTTTGAAGCCAGTGTTGCCTTCCTGTTTGTCTGTTTTTTCCATGATGATATGGGAGAGATCGTTAAAAACGCCCCTTTGTCCCTCTTTTTTTCTCAGTATGAAATTCTACTCTGTGTCCAAGACCATGACGATCCAGCCATCGACGTCTGTAAAAAGCTGCTGGGCAAATATCCCAATGTTGATGCCAGATTATTTATAGGTAAGCACTCTATAAACAAATTGTTTTTCTATTATTTTACAGCCACTTGCTGTATTGCCTAAGTGAAATAAAGCTGCCAGGGGAAAATAATGAGTGTGTCACCCCTTTCTCCTGTCCCCCCATGGCTTCTTTGCAAGGGAATTAGTTTGCGTGGGCAGAACCCAAGGGCAGATAAGTGTCATTTAAAAAGGTCTCCTCTAAGCGCAGTGAGCCTATGTGTATACGACTCCAGCCCAGCTGTGCGTCTACGGATGCACCTCTGGGACGGAATATTGATTCGCGCTCATTAGGAGCACGCAATGACTCCGTTTGCACCGTTCTCCAGGGTCCTGTTATCCTCCTTTCATAATTCTGTCTCATTCTGCCCATCTGTTAATGTGCAGAGAGTCAGGGGAGGCAGACGGGCTCAGTGACGTAAGCTGCTGCTAATGCAGCTTGGCAAACTTGACTACTACTGTGTAGGGGTGGCGTCACATACTACTTAACCCCTTCAAATTAGCAAAATTTGCAAAAGACATTGCAGAATGTAAGAGTTGTCATGTATTTAAAGGGGAACTTTTTATGATTCAATCACTGAGATATAAACAAAATCTTTCAGAGTGGTTTGATGTAAAATGGTTAATTCTTGAGAAACATGCTGACTTGATTTTCCTTATAATGTTGATGATAGGAGCCAGGGGTCACAAATGTAATAATCATAACGCAAATGTAATAATTTTATTTACTTTCCAAACTGACCAGTGAACATCTTCTGAGGTTTTGTATGTAATGATAATGGTAAAATATTGGTAAATTTGAAAAAAAAAGTTTCTTTCAGGACTACTTCACCCTGCATGTACCTCTCCATGAATATATATTTAAAAATACGATGCTTCAGGCAGTGTATTCAGAACCAAACAATGTAATAATCTTTTGTGAGAGAGCTTTTAGAGGCGGATGTCTGGTTCCTGTCACGACCACTGTGAACATTTCTGACTGTTAGTTTCTCTAGAACAGAGCTTTTCACTTTAGCCTCTCTGAAGAACTTTGTTTACATCTTACTGATTGAATTATGCTGAAATTGTGAACAATCAGTGGAATTTCCTCTAAGTTATGGAAGTGGAAAACATAACTCAGAATGTTGAATACTCACCATGAATGTTAGAGTTTAAAAACTGAAACTGTAAATTGAACAATCCCACTCTTTAATACTTAAAGTGAACAGCTCAAGTCCCAACATTTCAAAGCCATTGGCCATTTCTTCCACTGTTACCAGGGAGAAGTGTAATATGCCAAATATCTGAAGGATTACATAAAAATCTAGATGCCCTTTGGAAAGGCAGATAATTGGCAATTGGAGAGATGAAAGCAGATAAAATAGCAGAAATGCATTAACTTGGCTAAAAAAAGCTTTTGGAGAGTCTTCAGTATCCCCTAGAGATAAACCTCATTGTCCACAGATAATGAAACTTGTTAATCAAAAACAAACACGCACGTCCTGTAAATCCCCAGACTTCATTTCAGCAGCTAATTTGGTACCACTTCCTGCTGTCATATATTTTTTATGATTAGCATAACCAGTCCTCTGAAGTTTTGTGTTGTATCAACAATATTTTAAAATTTCAGTGTTTTAAAGCACCTGATGGGAGCTCTATGCTACTGAAGAAGACCAAGACAGAGTGGGCCGAGTCTGGAGTCAGAGGGTTGTATTAAAGGGGAATTCCACCTATTTTTCAACATTTCTGCGTAGTAAAATCTTTAATTTGTATTTGAATTATTCACAGTTGTTTAATATGAAATGCTCTGTTCTAGAGTCACAATTGTTCACAGTGGTGGTGATACGAACCAGATGCCTAAAGAGTTTAATGCCTTTCAGATCTCCCTCATAGTCAGAAAGTTAGTACATGAAATGGTTACAAATACACTGCCTAATGCCTGAGACATTGTTTTACTGTAATTTTTAGAAGGTTCATAGTTTAGTAGTAGAAGTTTTGTGTGTGTGTGTGTGTGTGTGTGTGTGTGTGTGTGTGTGTGTGTACTACTAAAAGGCTGATGCAGGGAGTAGTGAGGCAAAATAGTGAATAAAGTAAACTTTTTTTTTTTTTCAGATTTACCACTGTTGTACCATTATCAACAAAACATGTAAAACTGATGATGTAGGCTCACTGGTCATTTGGATAGTGAATAAAATTGCTTTATTTGCATTGTAGACATCTCAACCTCTGGTTCCTTTCTCCACCACTGTAAATAAATCAAAGTCAGCAAGTGTTCAATTTTTAATGCACCGTTTCACATCAAACCACTCTAACATCTCAGCTGTGGTATAGTACAGAAACTCTGAAAAATTGGTGGAATTCCGCTTTTGAGACTTTCTTGAGAAATCACACACATTCTGCCCACGTGTTACGGTCAAAACCACAAGCTTGAACACACAGTTTTGTACCGTGTGCCTGGAAAATCCAAATGTGCACATGTTTTGAGGGAGGCGTTTGAGGGAGGGTCATGCAAAACATGGGTGAAGATGTGTGACTAATTCTGTTTACTGACGTTTTAGCAGCTAGTTCCATTGGTTTTCCCTCGCCTTTTAAAACCACAGCTCAAACCATGCAGTGATGCGGCTGTAATATGCGCAAACAATCAGTGTTATTGTTTCACACAATCTAGTTTCTTAGCTGAAGTAAAGTAACACGCCTGTAGAATGATTTTGTGGGAAAGAACTAAATTTAACACTATTTTCTTGTCATCACTGAACCTTCATGTTCTGTTTCGTGTCCAGTAAGTGGGCGGAGTGATGCACAGTTTGCGTGATAAGCTACAGTCTTAGTAAATCCAACGTTAAATTCAGGCACATTGCTTACGACTCCGTTGACTTGTACAACAATACTGTCTGCTCCCTGATCTCCTTTTCTAAGCATGTATGTCTTTCTGCCATAACTGTGATTAGGGTCAAAAACTTCAGACCATGGTTTAGATCAGTGGTGTTATTTTATTTTTACTTAACATTTTCCTTTTACCACAACTGGCCATTGCTTGTTCAAAATATGGCAAAGAATAGGCACTGAATACCTGAACGATTAAAAATAATTAAGTAAAAATGAATTGTTTTATATAAAACAATAGACTCTTAAACCTCTTTTAATGTCCCCAGTGCACAGTAGATTTTTTAAAACTGCCCATTCACTTGAACTAGACGCCTGGCACCTTTTTCCTTTTGTTTTTGTTGTGCTGTCCCAAAGATTGCTGTTGGGTAGGGGGTGGGAGCACACATCACATTACAGTTCATGCTGGGAACTGTAGTGCAGCTCATGGTGAAATGGGGTAATATTAACAGAAAATTAAAATAATTTTGCGGGCCGAATAGGAATGTGCCACAGGTCTGACCTGGCCTGTGGGCCTTGTGTTTGACACACTGCTCTTCTGCAGTTTGGACATTAAAACATAACCACTCCTTCACCTGCTGAACTTTGCTTATAAAGTGAGCTGGTCGATGTTTGTGGTCTTTAGCTTTGCAGTCAGTGAGAATGCATCCACAGCAGACTGTCGCAGCTAAAAGTGAACACAGTCAATCGGTCAACAAAATTCATTAGTTGTTGAAGGTTTTGACATATAGATATAAAGCGATAAACACCAAAAAGGGTTCTGTTGTTACAAAGTCAAGCTTGTTAAAAAGAAGAACCTCCTTTTGGTGCTATATAGAACGCTTTCCAAAAAGGTTCTGTATAGATCCATCTACAGCACATTCCTCATCAATCTGAAGAATGCATTACAATGCAAATAACCCTTTAATCATGCAGAAAGTTCTTTGTGTGTTCATGGTTCTATATAGAGCCCTTTTCTTTGCTAAAGAACCCTTGAAGAAGTGTGTAGGTGCTATGTTGTATGTTGTTGGCCAAGAAGCAGTTCTTTAGGCTTCTGTGAGGGCCTGGCTCAAATAGAACAGCAAGTACCTGATCAGCCTTTAAATTCTGTAACCCTAAACTTGTGTGAATCTGTATTTAAGACAAAAAAAGCTATTAAAATCTGCATATGCGTAAAAATGGTAAGTTAAGTGCGTTAGCAATTCCCATCAGAAGTACCTCAGTCCTGCTCTGGGACCGATCACAGACAGAAGGCCTCCAGGCGTTCGATCGGCTCTTAGAAGCTGTAATCTTCCGCATGTGTAATTCTGCATATATATAAATTATTTTTATTGATGTCCATAACTGGTGCTTTCAGATGGATCAATGAATGTAGTTAATGTGCTGGATGAAGGACAAACACTCGCTGGGAGAAAGACGTCCGTTCAAAGCAGGCCCATGTCAGGGAGAGCCATATTAATGAGTTATGAGACAGGAAGTGAAGTGCTTATCCTTCTGTTCTGTTCTTTTTCTCTCAGGCGGGAAGAAGGTCGGCATCAATCCAAAAATAAACAACCTCATGCCAGGCTACGAGGGTGCAAAGTACGATCTGGTGTGGATCTGTGACAGTGGCATTCGAGGTAGGATTCCCACAGGTTTCACATGTAAACACGCTGTGGAAACGAAACTCATTCAATGACACGACCAACCTTCTTGAGAATCATAAAGTGCTTTCTTTTAAACAGTGTTACAACAAATGCTAGGGATTTAATAGCATACTTTGATCTATATATAACTGTTAATGTGGAAGCTATATACCCGTGTAGTTTTGTTAGATTGTCTTTTCCATTTAAAGGGAAATCCCACTGATTTGTCAAAAATTCAGCTTAATTCAGTGGCTGAGATGTAAACAATGTCATTCAGAGTGGTTTGGCATTTTATTTGCTGTCCAAAATCACATCATCAGAGTTTTTATAGTTTTATATATAATGTTAATAATGGTAAAATAGTTGTAGTAAATCTGCAAAATATGTGTTCTGTGAGCACTATTTTGTGTGTGTGTGTGTGTGTGTGTGTAAGCCTCTACTATGAATGTATTTAAATTATATGTTTTAATCTATAACATTATCTCAAAACTATTGTGCAACGATGTCTCAGACATAAGGCAGCATATATGTAACCAATTTAAGTCACAAACATTCTATGAGGAAGCTTTTAGAGGCATTAATCTCTTCAGGTGTCTGGTTCCTATCACCACCACTGTGAACTTAAGTTCTCTGGAATAGAGCATTTCACATCAAACCACTCCAAATCATGCATGCATTTAAATAAATCAGTGGAATTCCCCTTTACTAATGTGGTTATGGACCTATAGTTAATTCTATAACTTCTAAAAGTACATGCAGACATTGTAGTGTCATGCTTTCATTAATTATAACTCTTTCTGTAGTAGCTTTATACCTTTATTAATGCCTATGCCAATGGCATAACAAAGGTCTATGAGTATGAGCAGCAATAGTAAGGTTTGAAAGACTCTGCCTGTAGCTGCTCTGCTGACTGTGTGCTGATCTCCCACAGTGAGGCCAGACACACTAACTGATATGGCTAATCAGATGACTGAGAAGGTGGGACTGGTTCACGGCCTGCCGTACGTGGCAGACAGACAAGGCTTCGCCGCTACACTGGAGCAGGTGAGGGAGCCCTTGTCAACTCTGACCTTTGGAATTCTTCAACAGAACACTGTCTAATGGCGTGCTAATGGCCTGCAGGGATTTATTTGAATGCTCCTGACAAGACTGTTTATTACCAAGCTAATATTAGACTCATACCAGCTGTCTAATAATACTGTACAATACTGGCATAACCATTATGAACATTTTGTGGCTGTAGCCCATTTTAAGGGGGTAAAAATGTAGATAACTGATAAGATGTAGTTTATATTTTAGGTAAATCTAAGGTGGTGAGTAGGCGTCTGATTAGCCACGGCCAAAATAATGCCCGACTAGCTGGAATAGCGGGAAAAGGATCTGGTTTATGGAAACGAAGTGCAGTCTAATGTGTGTGTGTGTGTGTGTGTGTGTGTGTGTGTGTGTGTGTGTGTGTGTATATATATATATATATATATATATATATATATATATATATATATATATATATATATATATATATCCGCTGTATAGCAGCTATGGTGGAAATACTCAGAACTTTTTTGTGCTTTGTAATATTGATCTCATAACCATGTCAGACTAAAATATGTAGGGAACAGTAGACATGGGAGCTTTATTACATCATAGTTATCACATCTCAAAACTTGGAAATGGTCAGAATCACCGCCTCAACCTTTCTAAGGTTAGACTGGAATAAATAGTTAAATGAGTAAAATAATATAACCATGATGCTATTTTGTGTACAAATTCACCACATCAGCCAGTATTGGTGTCAAATAGTTCAACTGAGGGTGTCTCTGATTGGGCTCCCTACTGGCACTGAGGAATGGCATGGAACTGTCTATGTTTTTGGATTTTTTATTTTATTTTTTTTTACTTGCAATATATCAGTGCTTTAGTATTTAGTGTGTCCACATTTTGCCTCTATTAGATCTCCCATTCTTTTTGGCAGACTTGCTTTCAGTTTTTCAAAGAAATTTCCAGGAATAGCCCAATTTTCCAAGCTTTTAAAGATAAGTCTTTGAAGTTGGTTGCATTTTCTGCTTCCCACTATCCAAGTAATCCCCAATACTTTGATGTTGAGGTCTGGACTGTGGGGTGGTCAGTCCATTTTTCTGAAAACACCAGCAGCCTTCTTGTTTCTTCTTTTTGTCTGTTTCCTTTCCTCAGTCAGGACTTCTTACCTGTTACACATCCTTTCAGACTCATTGTTGAGTTGTCTTTCGCAATTGAAGGATTGGCAGTTGGGCTCAACAGTACACTATGACGGTCATGATTCACGTCAATTACTCGATTTAAAAAATTTTGATTAACGTTTGCCCTCTTGGCTTTTTCTGATATAGTATTTTGAGATTTTTGAAGGTTTACTGTTTACTTTTGACTTTTACTGTTTACTGTCCAGTTAATTTTTATTGTTTGTCCTTTGTTTCAAACTCTGATTACTCCATTAATCATTGACCTAATCAGTACATTACTTGACTTGCTAGACTATGTTGGACTGTTTTGAAAGCAGTGCACTTCAGTTATAATCACAGTGGAATGATTATAACTAATGGCTTTAGATCCGTCAGATTTGGGCCAGTTTCTTTTGGCCCAGCTAGAGTCTTGCCTTAGACTGTTAAAAAAACAAAAAGCACACTTCTGTTGGAGATTTATGGTCTCTAAATTACAGTGAAGAACACAGAGCTGGCCTGCAGTTGGCATCACCTCAGGAATAAACATCATGCCAGGCTAAGTTGGAGTAAATGCTGAGGCTGATTTAGTCCAGAACTGTGCTTATCCACGTCAGAGAAACCAGCCTGGAGTGTGTGAGAGATATTTGTTATTTCAATAGGAGAGTCTCCATTATGAAGCTGGACTTTCTGGTTCACCCGACTGTGAGAAACTGAACATGCCGAATTGTAAATAAGGGCATGCTAGTTTAGTTCAGTAGTCGTCACTCCCGGTTTTATTTAATGTTCTTGTTTCCTTTGTTTATTATACAGTCAGATCACTTTATCCAGGTTTAGGTGTGTCCAGGTGTGTCAGAGAGTGGAAAATGTGGACATGTTCAGTGGTGTGGCTGTGCTGGACAGGGAGGGATGAACAGTGAGTGTAATCTGTCAGAAGACTGTGAAACTTTATAGAGGCCGTATGAGTTTTGAGTAGAAACATTCCAACCCCAAAGTGGAGGAGGAGCCTTATGGTATCTTTTTCCCTCATGGGGTTTTATAGCCCCTCAACCAAATCAATGCAATATTCATTTTATTGAGGGCTGCCTCTGCTGGATTATTCATCAACAGTATGCTTCTAGGACTGAATTTTTTGAAGTATGATGATGAAATAAAATATTCACTCAAATAACTGCCACTTTGAAGTGGAACCCATGTTTTTTTTTGTTTGTTTGTTGTTTATAGTACTGTGGGAATGTCAGAAACCACCTTTATTTAAGTTCTTTCATTAAGTTATTAATTTTTCAGCATCAGGAAAAAGCACAGAATATTTAACAGAAAATTATAGCAAGCAGAGATTATGTAAGATTTTTAGTATTTAGTTTCCATGCTTCGCCTTGACTCACTTTCAGTTTATTTCTCCTGAAAAATGTGACCTTTAATACTTGAGGGATGGTCTCTGACTTACGTGAAGAACTTTGTTAATTTAAAGTTAAAGGTTATAGGGGGAAAGTACCCTTAAAGATAATGGTATGTCATACAGTGTCAGAAACTACGTAAACTTATTCAACAACTAAACCTGATGTAAGAGTCTTGAGCATAATCCTCCAGGCAGTGTCCACTGTGTAATCCTCAAGGTGTGTCTAACTGTGTAATCCTGCAGGTGTATTTTGGAACATCACACCCTCGTTCATACATATCTGCCAACGTGACGGGGATTAAGTGCGTGACAGGGATGTCTTGTTTGATGAGGAAGGACGTCCTGGACCAGGCTGGAGGCCTCATTGCTTTCGCCCAGTACATCGCTGAAGATTACTTCATGGCCAAAGCCATTGCAGACAGGTTGGCTCAGACTTTTTACTGAAATGAAGCTGTAGCAGTGAGTCTTCAGAGTGGGGCTCTTAGTGTAGATTTATTCATCACCACATGCAGCAGGAACGGCAATAAAGAGTGATTAAGATACCAATTATGTGAAAACTGTCTTTTTATTACTCGTTTCCCCTCTCCATTTATAAAATACCATAAAAACCAAACCATGTGAACATGGATGCTTTCTGAAGGCCTCACATTCTTACATGTGTTTTACGGAATCAATAAGAATATTATTATTATTGCAAATTACAGCTAATTCAGAATTCATTGCCTCTGCCTCTGGGGTTTTTTGGGAGGAAATTTGCTTTCATGGAGATTGCCTCCTCAGGAGAGTGTTGTTTGCTTTTATTGACTCTGTCAGCTGAACTGTCACGTCTTCCTCCGGGTGGCCAATAACCCCTTCCTTTTTGTCTTGCAGAGGATGGAAATTCTCCATGGCAACGCAGGTAGCCATGCAGAACTCAGGCTCATACTCCATCGCCCAGTTCCAGTCACGCATGATCAGGTATTGTGCAGTCAGCCATTCTTGTCTCGTCTGTGGAGCCGAGCTACTCTCTGGTCTTTCCGCTTTGTGGTGCGGCTGCTCTGCAGTTTACTCTGACTGTGTATGCTTGTGCAGCGCGATTTTGACTGTGTTGCAACCGCAGTCTGTGTTCTTTAATGTAACAAGGTGCGAAATTGTAGATGTTAACGTAGATTTTGAAGGCCACATGGTGGCCATGTTAATAGTGAACTACACTCAGTGTAAATTGTTAATCAAAATTGTTAAACCTAAATAAAAAGGCATGTCACTGTTAAAAGCTGTATACCTCAAAATGGACATGTTATATGAGAAGGGAAAAACTGACTTTTTGCCTAATCCAGTGGCAATAATTATTTTAATAATTATGCCCATGTCCTACATTTTTCTTTTACATTTTCCCCAAAGGCCCCCTTATAACATTTGCAAGATTACAATTAAACTGTATTTGCTGTATTAATAAGCTTCATTTGTTACAGTGCGTGTAGGTCGATTCTATATAAATATTTGTTCTGATTGGCTGTCCTGTATTGTGCCTTAAACAAAAAAGGAATCCTGGCTGAAACACTCTTTATAACTTCAGTGTGAATGGGCAGGGCTAAACATCTCTAGACTAAATAGGTAGATCTATGTAAATGCATTATTTTTGTGACATCACAAAAACTGAATTCAAAATAGGCTGTTTTTTTGCGGCTTAGTTTCCATTTATAAATTGGGGAGTGAATGGTACATTTTTAAAACTTTTATATTTACATACTACATCAAGATTTTTTTTAGAAAGCAAGGAAAAGTCACGTCCTCATAATGTATGCCCTTTAATGTACTTTCATAATGAGATGTTCAAAATTTTCTTTAACCCTATTGAAGTTCTCACAAATTCTGTCATACTTCATTATAATTGAAGGAGAATCAATCTTCTATAAATTCTAATCACTTTTTCAACTTAATGTTAATTTTACATTTTCAGTAGATGTCCTCCAGTTATAATAGCAAGTTTTTTTGTTTGTTTTTTTTTTTGGTTTTAATTTTTTTTTTTTATGTGCATAGAGGAATGAAACATGATTCCAGCATGGGCAAGCACACTATGCAAGATGCCTAATGCTGTGTTCACCTACCTTTGCAACATAATTTACCCCTTCAAATAGCAAGGATCTGTGGACAAGTCCAAACTTTTATCACATACTTCTATAACTTGTATAATAGTGATGAAAATAATGTCTGTGAAACGCTGTAATTGAAACTGTGAATGAAGTGTACAGAACACATGTACCAAAATCTGAATGTCACGCATTGCATGTGCACCTTGCTAATCTTCGGTGTCTGTTGCCACTCAGATGGGCCAAGCTTCGCATCAACATGCTGCCAGCCACCATCATCGAGCCCATCTCCGAGTGCTTCGTGGCAAGCCTCATCATCGGTTGGGCTGCTCACCACGTGTTCCGCTGGGACATCATGGTGTTCTTCATGTGCCACTGCCTGGCTTGGTTCATCTCTGACTACATCCAGCTCCGAGGAGTACAAGTAATAACACCTTGCTTTTGTTTACATACACTACTGTGCTAAACTCAGGCCATTCAAATTAAGTTATTCAAATTAAGTTATTCATTTTTCAGGAGATATTTCTGATTAGATATATAATAATCCACGTACATAAGGAAGGAGAAAATCAAGAGAAAAATCTAGAGTTTCCAAAACTGGAGTTCAAAAAATGATTAAAAGACAATGGGACACCTAAGAACCGTTTCTGAGAAATTTAAAATGTAAATTTTATTTATTTAAAAATTATTTAAATAAAATAAAATGAAGCATGGTCTGAATTTTGCACAGTACTGTACATTCACCCAAACAAGTGTTGTTTACAGACATAAACACTGCTTCACAGACATTTTGGACTGGAAGTGAACAAATGGCAAACAAAGCCATGTTTCATACGTACACACAGCATATTGCACATTAGCTTGAAGGAGAATAGTCATTTAGGTAACTGCTATTCAGTCTCAGTCCTGGTTCTCAAAGGGTTTGGCAATTAGCTCATGAGTTGAATAATTTGAGTTTAAACAAACTCAAACTGCAGTTCAGGGGTTTCCTCAGGGCAGAGACTGAATACCTCTGATTCAGGTAAATGGGTAAAAAGGAACCTGCTAGCTGACATATTCCCTGCAGGCTTCATCTGCTCTTCCTGCATTTCTCTAGTACAAATTTCTAATTGGCTGACCTTCATAATGTTTGCCTTTGTTTTCTCTCCCTCTCCCCACTCAGGGTGGCCCTCCATCCTTTTCCAAGCTGGACTACGCAGTTGCCTGGTTCATCAGGGAATCCATGACCATCCAGATTTTCCTGTCTGCTCTTTGGGACCCCACCATCAGCTGGAGAACAGGTCGCTACAGACTACGCTGCGGCGGCACGGCTGAGGAAATATTGGACGTATAGAAAAAAAAAAAGAAAAAGAGAAAAAAAAGCACCTGGAGCTTAGAGAAAGACTTAGGACAAAACAAGAGAAGCCGGAACACACAGAAAAAAAACTGCATCAACTTTGTTTTTTTGTTTTGATTTGTGTGAGTTTTAAGAGAGAAATTAGATTTTTTTATTTAATTGTTTTTAAAAACCTGTGGCGTGTTGGAGAGCGTGTATTGAGTATTTATGTTCTCGGTGCTTTCGTTGGCCTCGTTGTGGTCTTCTGGACCAGTCAGGGGGCTTGAGTTCCAAAATGAGCCAATAGTGACAGATGAGTGGAGGAACAGAAGGGGTAATGACACAGGACAATGCCCAGGTATGTGGATGGATGCAGGGCTAAGTTGCTCGAGCCATGTCTTAGTGCTTCAGTGGATTTCCGGAAGCCTATATGATGATCCATAGGAATTTTTACCCTCTTTTTTAATATGCTGGTAACATGTTTTGTGGTTATGAACAGCACTGCATATGTGATGCATTTTACCAAGCCTTTTGAAGATTAGGACTTTTTTAAAGATAATCACAGTTTGCCACAAAAATAATCTTAAGAAACTGCCTGTGGATAGCTTTCAGGGAGGCATTTTAGTTCAGTATGTGGTTGGATCACTTGCTTAATGCAGTGTTGCTCTCAACTGAAGTCTCTGTTGCCATCTTTTTAAAAAACATGGGGCTTACTGAACCTTAAAGACAGGTCAATACTGCATTTACTGGTTAGAGCAGTTCCTTTGGTTTTGTAGGCCCTCCAGATATAGTGTTTTCTTTGCTCTAATACAGCCATTTCAGCAGAACAGGCTTGTTAATCGGCTGATTAGTTGAATTAGAACTCGTCGAATTAGTTCTAATTATGTTGCAGTAGAGAAAACACTAAAAATGTGCAGGGCTGGAGAACTTGAGTAACAGAGGTACGAAATGAAATTTCACATCAACATCTGTTGTTAGACAGGTGATGGTAACACTTTCCTGTGTTCGTAAGGCCACGTGACCTCTACATAAGTGCTTCATGACAATAGACCTACATAAACATTTATTGATACTTATTTTAGTAGGTCATTGACATAACGTTTAATCTTTTTCTAAAATTAGGTTGTCATGGTTTTTATAGGGTGAAATTTCAGATTTTATAGCTCAGTCATAATGTCACAGTCACATAGTGATGATAATATAGCAGCTTGTCAAGTCAGGCTGGTTGAATAAAAGTGAGCATTTTCTGTGGCCCTTAGATTCAAGTTTCAAGCTATGGCACAACGTCAGCATTACGTCAGCTACAAATTTGATGTAACACACTATTTCACCCAAGAAAATGTTATGACACAGTTATGTCAGAAAGGTTCAATGCCACCTAGACAACACCTATTGGAATAAGCCTTTATAAATGGTTATGTAGGTTTATGTCACTTGTCATGCCAAGCTTAAATTGGTGTCATATAGTCTAATGAAGACAGCGTTACAGAAATAACTTGTGTGCTTGATTAACATTTGTACCCAATGTAGGAATTAAATCCCCAGTTGCTGAAACACTTCCACGGCTAGTCCAAAACTGACTCTCGAGTTGGACATAACGGACCTCTGAATGGTTGCCTCTTGCATTGCTGTATTTGTTATTAGGCCTGCACAATATATATTATTATATCTTACTATAGTTTCTTGGATCACATCAGCTTATTGATTCATCCAAATGTGAAAAGAGATGTCTGTGATTGGTCACAACACACATTAAAACATGTAGTGATTGTTCATTTGCATACTGCAGCCTTCTGCAATATCAGTATTGTGAAGGCTGGTATTGAGATCACTTTATATATTTATATATACAAATTATATATTGTGCAGCTCTACTAATTATTCTAAAGCCTTGCAGTGAGCACTAACTTAAGCTGCTACAGGATATATACACCCTTTGTTGCATTTCAGAATTTAGCCCATCATGGGGGTGGGCAATATGGCAACATCACAATACTTCAATACATGTTCACGATGTACAAAGATTATCACCATTTCGTTTTTCTGAGGGTTGATAAGCTGGAACAGACAAAAAGATCCAGTAAAATATAAAATACCAGTTAAAAATTCTATCAAAAACTATGAATTTAATTACTTTTATTTAATTTTATTTAATTGTTCACATACACTGTGATGGACTGGCAACCTGTCCAGGGTATTTCCTGCCTTCCTTCCAGTGAGCGCTGGGATAGGTTCCAGCACCCCCTGTGACCCGGGAGGTTAAGAGACTCAGAAAATGTGTGTGTGTGTGTGTGTGTGTGTGTGTGTGTGTGTGTGTGTGTCCACATACTGCGCTGCGCTAAATCCAATTAAGTAGGACTAATTATACTCTCTTTGAAATGGAGCATACAGTTGCTCGGTGTACTGATGATATCCTTCATATGCACAGAAAAGCATATTGTGATGTTATTTATCCAGTAATGATAAAATATATAAAATATCGTCATATTGCCCATCCCTACTAAACCCACGCTCTTGGCCACATGTGGTCAGCGTCTGCGCACCTGCTTACACAAGTGTTCAACATGGAAGCCGTGGTTGTGTTTCAGATCCTCTGTCATTTTCACCTCTCCAGAGTTTGCTGTGTTGTTACTAGATGTGGACCAGGCAAGGGACTAACGAACAGAACAGCATACCCTCACTAAAGGCTTTTTGCTTAACGTGCCAATGTGTAAAGAACACACATTCCTGCACCAGTGTGAATCGATTGCACACAGGGCATTAACCAGACCCCCCCATCCCCCGACATCCACCCCCTCATCCCTACTCACCCTGACATCCACCCTCCCGTCTCCCCCCCCAATGCTGCTTTATCGACCTTATAGAAGCATTGTCAGTATTTCCTGAGTCGTTTGATGTTTACTTCATGGAAGTGTGTGCACCAAAGGACTTGAAGTGCGATCTCTAAATTGCACACTGAGTTTATTATTATTTTTTTTTTAAAACTCATTTATTCCTATTGCATTTCAAACTTAGTCCAGAGCCTTTTGTGCCATTTTTTTCATCATGGATCTATTGATTAATTAGGCCTTTTTTATGGTTTCTGTTGAATAAACACTGTTTTTTCTAAACTGACAAGTTGATTTTTTTTTTCCTTGACACATTTCAAATAGCAGTCAATAAAAGCACTTCCAGTGTCGTAAATGGCCAAACCGCTCAGAGTTTGGGGTTGTAAATCTGCATTCTTTTCCTCATAGACTGGTGCGCAGTTTTCATCACAACACTTCACTGATACTTTATCATAGCGTTAGCATTGTCAGTGAAACAAATGGGGTTAAAAACAAACACAAAAACTTCCCCTAGCCACATTTTGCTCATACTTCAGCTTCCCTCTCACCCTGTTCAGTTTCATTCTTTCAGGTTCCTCACTGACAGTGTTATGCGGGAGATTATCTGTTTAGTGGAACTTTTTTTGGTCTGTTAGTGGAACAAACAAAAATAAGTTGGCAAACAGTGGGACCCATGACCTAAATTGGTGCTTCCTGCCTTCAGTCCTGCACGGTGCTGCACAGATTTGTGATTTTCTGCAAATAAATTGTATCATTAGCTAACAATCAAGCCCTCCACGAGTTGAATCAGGGACATTACGACAAGGAAAGTGTAGGTGCACTACAGGACTGGAGATGGGTAACACTAGCATAGGCTAAATCCCAAATGGCTTCCTCTTAGGGTTGCACAATATGGACAAAAAACCATATTGCGATTATATTGCTACATATCCATTGCGATATACCATGCGATATACTAAAAAGCTACCAGTAAACCGTTAATGTGACATGGTTATAGATATGTGTTATTTTGGCCACAACTATTTAAATGTATTTAATCATGTAAATGCCTGGATTCATCCAAACAACTATCTGTGATTGGTCAGCTTTTCAGCCTAATGCTTTACCATTAAAAATTTACTCTAGGCTGAGACTTGACTAGTCATAAGCTTAGGCTTAGACTAGTTAGAGGCTCATTTGCTAAATGTTGTCAAGGCTTATAGCACAATAACAATTAGTAGGTAATATATTGTGCAGCCCTACTCTCACTTTCCTGGACATGAGTTAAGTCTAGTCTTGGACTAAATTGCAGTGCCAATGGTGAATCCCCATTGAAAATTCCTTTTAGTCTAGGATTAGCAACTGGTCCACTATTTGGGTGTAGAAGCCATCATTTTATGCCCTATGTAGGAAAAAGGAGCCACTTGAGATTCAGCTTAACAGCTGCCATTTTGCTCACGCCCTCCTCTTTGCAAAGGCAAGCTAGGTACTGTAGTCCAATGGCAAAACCTCTGGGGCCAGTTTATCAGATCCAGATGAAGCCTTCTCCTAGACTAAGAAGAGTTTCCAGCGGAGATTCCCCATTGTCACCACAATTCAGGCCAATATGTCATCTTAAAAGGCTTAATCGATGTCTGGAAAACAAGCCCCGATCTCTCAGCCGCTGTCAGGTTTTTCATCAGTCGTTCTACCACTTACAACAACACACATCTAATCAGGTGAATTCTTTTTGTAAGGTATGAGAAACCAGTGTCATTTTACCTTGACAGTGAGTACGAATGCATGCTCGCCAATCAGTCAGCAATAAGGTCTGAAAGTCATGCTCTGCTTAGTCTGTGAAACTACAACTGGTTATAGCTGTATATCTGTATAGTAAACATTTCAGATTTTATTGACCATTTCAAATCATTGTATCTTCAGAAGCAAAGAAGCATATTTCAGCAAAGTAGAACTGAATTTACCATTGCATGTAAATAAGTGTTAATGCTCTTTTCTCATGTGCAGTGAATCAGATTATGCCACAGTAGATGCAGCTGTAGTTCACAGTGGGTTAAAGGAGGTTAGGAGGTGGATGTTTTCTGCAACAGCTGTCTGAAGCAAATCTGCTGTTCCTTGCCTTCTTTTTTGGATTTTTTGGCTGAGAAAGAAAGCAACTTAGTTTATTTCCACCTCACTTGACAGCAGGACTACAACGCACTGTACGTTTTCTTTGTTTATACATCTCCTGTTGCGCATACGCGTGTGAGAGTG